AAGTTCATCCATCCATCCATCCATCCATCCATCCATCCATCCATCCATCCATCCATCCATCCATCCATCCATCCATCCATCCATCCATCCATCCAAACATTTATCCATTGTATAGGATAACCTATCACAGAGGGGGCATGGAGAGGGCTGATGCCTATCACAGTAGATTATTGGGGTGAAAGGAAAACTTTATTTCGGGTTACAAGTCAGTCAGAAAGAAGACTTTTTTTTTTTTTTTGTCAGCCTGGAAATCAAATGATTATTATGTTACTCTTTCACTTATTGATATAAATATATGATTAATGGTAGCTGTTCAAAATTAGTTGCTCACTCAATATTACAGTTCTTTGATTAATAATTATTAATAGACCCAAACAGGGGGGGGGGGAAACAAAGACCTGGAAAAAGATATGGGTCAAGTTTACTGGCTCTACAGGGGGTAGGGATTTGGTGAATTAACTGGCATGCCACAGTAAACAAGTACATCGCCCACTGCCAGGTAATCCCATTCTTCTCAAAAAGATTGCAAATAACTCTGAGTGAGTTCTTTGGAAACAGTTGATGAAGTAACTTTGGTAATAAAAAAAAAACTTCAAACCTATTTCTGTTACAGAAGTGTAATAAAATAACCTTACCCTTCTGAGCCAGGGGAAGTGTTTGTAGAAATCAATATGATACTCCATTGTGCAAATCCATAGTTGAGCTCTTCCTTCTTATGTCTAACAGAAATGAGCATATACTATGAAGTACCAGCACACACAACCAAAACAGTGGCTTTTAACTACACTGCATGCTCTCCTTCTTTTATTAGAACCAAATGCTGCAGATGTGGAGCGTGCAGGAAGGATCTAGGTCTATGTGGTTTGGAGCTCAGGCTGCCTTAGACTTCTGCAGCTGAGCTGAATAAGTCAAAGTATGCCAGTTGGCATTACTTTCCCTCCTGTCCCTCCATCCCCCACACCCTCTCTTACTTTTTCTATCTACTTTCAGTTGCTCTGTTTTTCTTTCTTTCACTTCTTGATTTTGAATGTCCTATTTTTGCATTTTTCTGTGTGTGATTGGAGAATATTTTTTCTATTTCTGTAAGAAACATTCTCGCGTATGATCTTATTTTTGAATCCCTGATTCCTTTGGCCCTTTAGCAACCCAGCTTTTTTTGGGCTGTCTAAATGGAAATATAGGAAAGAAAACTTTTTTTTCTCCACCATATGCTTCTCAGATGTGGTGAGGGGCACACAGTCAGTAAAGGCTATTCAGAAGGGGAGGAGGCAGTGGAAAAGAGTGAAGAGGGGTGTAGGAACAAATCTAAACAACAGAAAAATACTGTTGGTGCCTTACTTGAACCATTTACTAAAAAAGAATATTTCTGGCTAGGAAAAGGAGGAATGATTAAGAAATAAAATATGAGAAAGGAATAGAACTATTACTAAACTGCAAATTAAAGCTCTGGAACTCATTACTAGTGCCATTTATACACTTCTAACCAGACAAAAAAAAACAACCCCCCAGATGTTGCTTAGCTGGATGAAAGACTAGAAAGTGGAATAAAATAACGCTTGGACCAAGAGGAAATCTTTAAGAACCTCCAACAAATCTAATTTGAATCATATTACAGAACTGGTTGGTATGTATTATACAGCACATCTATAGTATTTTCAGGCAAATAATGTACATAATTCCATGACGTTATAATGCTCGGTGATCAGCTTGTGGAAAAAATGGCACTGTGAAGAAAACATGCTCCTCCTCTTTATTGCATTTTAATATATCATTAACTGTATGGCTAAACATTGGTTACTAAGTGTACCTTTATTTTTCACCCCCTTCTGTCCCCCCTACATCAATTATCCCTCTTGATAGTATTTTATATTTTGTCAAGATTAATTTTACTTTGGGATTAATATAATATTTTTTTAAATATTTTCTTTCAATTTAATTGAATTTAACTATGCAAACATAGGAGCACTTTTGCAAGCAGCTCATCAAAACAATACACATTAATTGCAGGTGGCGAGAAGAGGAAAATGATTTTCAGGGATGCCCTGCTGTTAAGCTGTAATAATCATTTATATAGAACCTAAGCTACATTACACTTTAGATAGTTTTTAAAATTTAGCAATTACATGTTCCACTTGAAGCTGTAGTTAATGCAGTTTACTGCTCAAGTGTACTATGTGAGACTTAGACAAAAGGTACAGCATCAAAATCAAAACTTGAGAGTTTGGGCAAATTCATTATGGAATAATTTGGTATATGATGCTAAATGGGAATTTTCTGTCTTTGCTTATTCACTTTTTTTGGTCTTAGAAAAAATGTTTATCTGCAGAGCAAAGCTGAGAATCATGATCAAGCTGCAAAACCCTAACAGCATTCCTGATACTTTGTGACACTGTATGTCAACAATATCCTGAATGTGGCTTTGGGGTTTAGACTCCTCTCATTTGGTGACCAGGGTGTCAAACATTGTCACTGTTTCATCCACATAAGGCCCAAGATCATACTTACAGTGTTTATTTTCACTTCAGTTAAGTTTAATTATATAGAGCCCTTTCAAAACAAAAGTAAACTCAGGGCAACTTAACGCTTTGAAAATAATTTTGTATTTCTAGTTTATTAAATGACTGATTGAGCAAATGCTGGGCGAGGAGGAACAACTATGGAAACTTTCTAATTTTTAATAGAAAATTAAATCCAGGGGCATTAAATCCAGCTACTGGCATTATAAGAAATTAAAATCAATTAACTACATTTTTTTTCCTATGATTTATCTGCATTATTGGAATATATCAATAGGGAAAGAGAAATAAAGA